TCCTCCTAAGACAGGCAAAAACTTCTTCAAGTTAGGGAAGAGCAGACCCCCCCCCCCCCAGTATTTGTGCTCGGACAAGCTCATATTCAACTTTCAAACCCACTAGAAACCTTATCATATCAAGTTGCTCATGCTGTTGCTGCTGAATCTGAACATCCAGTGTCAGAGGATGATACACATTGAGCTCATTTCGGATATTCCTCAGACTTGCATAGGATTCCTCAAACCTTTGACTTCCTTATTTCAGATTAAAGTACTCTTGGTACAACTGATACACCCTAATCGTATTGTCTTACTTGGAATACAGTTTCTTAGCATGATCCCATATTTCTTTAGCTGTATCTAGGAACATAAAGTTCACGCTAAATTTTGGTTCCATGTTATTCCACAACCATGTCAATATTTGTGCATCTTCTTGTTCCCAGTTGCTAAACCCTAGAGAATTAGAGGAGGGTTTCTCCTCTCTCACATGTTTTACTTTTTCTTGGATTTTAAAAATACCTCCACAGGTTTTGCCCATGTCACATAATTCTCACCATTCAACTTAATAGATGTCATTTGAACATTTAGGTAATCTGGAGAAATCATAACGCATGTTTTATTGTCATTCACATCTCCAATTGATGCCATCTTAACTAATTCACCTTACCGCACAAAGAAATCACTGCTATATGTAGAGTATTCACCTTCAAATATTCACCACAACCTTACACACTTCCACAAAACTTATCTCACTTTCAGCACCACCAATTTCTTCAACTACACATTACACATCAAATACAAAAGCTGAAATCACTCAGTTATTAAATCAAACACCTATACTACACACTGCAGAACCACTCACACACCAAATACAAGAGCTGAAATCACTCAGTCATTAAATCAAACACCTATACTACACATTGCATAACCATTCAAACGCCAAATACAAGGACTGGAATCACTCAGCCATTAAACCAAACACTTACACTGCACTCCGCAGAACCGACTTGTACTCAGCTAAACACTATTCACCCGAACTTGCTCTCTTCATACCATCAAATAGAGAGCTTCCTACCAATCACCACAAACATCCACTGCACCACAAACCGGAGGCATGAAGGCATCCTACAGAGAAAAATGACCACTCCTTTTCAACCTTTTCCTTAATCTCCCAATGGTTCTTGAGAAATCTGCAAAACCCTAGAGAGGAGGGCGATAAAAAAGACTGGGTAAACTAGAATAAAAGAGCAAGACGAGCAGATCGGAACTTGTTACATGTGCTCTGATACCATGTGAAAACCTTACTTAGTCCTAGGTTACAGTAGAGAAGAAGGAGAAGAAGAAGAAGAAGAAGAAGAA